AAAAAAAAAAAAAAAAAAAATTAATTTAATTAATTAATTAATTAATTAATTATATTTAATTATTATTAAATAAATAAATAAATAAATAAATAAATAAATAAATAAATAAATTACCTAATAATGCTGTCTCTAGTGCGGCCTTTTCTCTCTCTAAAGAAATACAAAGAGATAATTCACGACGGTCCTTCTATAAGAAAAAAAAAAAAGAAAAAAGAAGAAAAAAAGAATAAAAAAGAATAAAAAGGGATAAAAGGGATAAAAGGGATAAAAGGGTAGGGAAAGGAAAGGAAAAAGAAGAAGAAAAGAAGAAAAAGGAAAAAAAAGAAGAAAAAAGGAAAAAAAATTACAAAATAAGGAAAAATTAGTATTTTAGGGTTTAGGGTTTAGGGTTTAGGGTTTAGGGTTTAGGGTTTACATCCATATCTTCAAGTTGTTTCTCAAGATCAGCGAGGGTTTTGCGAACAGTTGATTGTTCATTAGCTGCAGCAGCAACAACACAACATCCTGCTGCTGCTGCTACTGCTGCTGCTGCTGCTGCTGCTGTTGCTGCTGCTGCTGAGGTGTAGGAGCAGCAGCAGCAGCAGCGGCAATCCCAACAGCACCATCAGCAGCACGAGCAGCAAAAAAACAGCAGTAGCACCGCCACTACCACTACCACCACCAACAGCAGCAGCAGCAGCAGGAGCAGCAGCAGGAGGAGCAGCAGCAGCTTACATGCATGCTGCAGCAGGAGCTCCGTCTCCTTAGCTTTTTCCTCAATAAAGTTGCAGCAGCCAGCAGCAAGAAGAGACAAACGACCAACAGATGTTAATAAAGATACTTCTTGTATACGTCCTTGATGAATTATAAATGAGCTCCTGCTGCTGCTGCTGCTGCTGCTGCTGCTGCTACGACTGCTGCTGCTGCTGCTGCTGCTGCGGCTGGAACGACCGCTGCAACAGCGGCGAAAACGGCAGACACACACAGCAGCAACAGCAGCATATGTTAACTGCAGCAGCAGCAGCAGCAGCAGCAGCAATATGCATGCATGCAGCAGCAATTATCTACATGCAGCTGCAGCAGCAGCAACTGCAGCAGCAACCGCTGCAGCAGACTAACCTTGAGAGTCCCGCGCATTCAACAATTTGCTCATATTGAGATTTGCTGCAGTAAACAGAAAACACAATTAGGGTTTAGGGTTTAGGGTTTAGGGTTTAGAGGGGAACAACAAAATTAGGGTTTAGGGTTTAGGGTTTGGAAAGAAGAGAATAATAAGACAAATAAATAAATAGAAAAACCTCCAATACACCATAAATAACTATAAAAATAAATCAAACCCTAAACCCTAAACCCTAAACCCTAAACCCTAAACCCTAAACCCTCATACCTGATAGTATTTCCTTGTATTGTTATATCATCTGCATCTAAAGAAAAAGACCGACGAATTATCACCGAATCAGCGTCAAACTGAATCACAAACCCTAAACCCTAAACCCTAAACCCTAAACCCTAAACCTTAAACCCTAAACCCTAAACCCTAGTTTAAGGAGGTGGTTTTCTATGAATTGTGGATGTTTAGCGGTGTCTCTGCTGCTCGTCGTTCCAATAGTCCTTTTGCTGCTGCTGCTGCTGTTGCTGCTGCTGCTGCTGTTGCTGCTGCTGCTGCTCCTGCTGCTGCTGCTGCCAGCTCACCATACAAAGACGTCTGCTGGTGTTGTCTATGATTAACTCAACAAAACCACTCGGCACTCGCCCGTGTACACCTTCCTGCTCATAAACCCTAAACCCTAAACCCTAAACCCTAAACCCTAGATTTCCCTAAACCCTAATCACTAAACAACGAACAAGAAGAAGTAAACCCTAAACCCTTAATGGCATAGAGATATAAGCTTCGGCAGCCGCTCAACTCCCCGTTTTGCAACACCAAACCCTAAACCCTAAACACTAAACCCTAAACCCTAAACCCTAAACCCTAGATGCTGACATGAAGAAGAAGGCGACGGTCTGCAGCAGAATTGCCGATTTCCCCCAACACGAAAGAAATGCCGAGAAGAATATTGGATTTACCGCTACCATTGTGGCCAACTGCATACACAAACCCTAAACCCTAAACCCTAAACCCTAATCCCCGACTAAACCCTAGGGAGGAGCATCAATCAAATAATACAGCAGCGTAAGGGGCATCATAAAAACACCGAGAGAGTTGGGGAAAGCGGTGGCACAGTTGAATGAGTTGCTGCTGAGGGTTTATGGTTTAGGGTTTAGGGTTTAGAGAGCGAATGCCGTACTTATACAGGTACAACCCTCAGAAAAGGTGATGGTAGTCGGCTCATTATAAGTTTTAAAACCCTGAAGGGTTATGGATTTGATGTGCATGCTGTCTGTTTTTCTATTGACGAGGGTTTAGGGTTTAGGGTTTAGGGTTTAGGGTTTAGATTTTTCGTCATGGGGTTTAGGGTATGCATGCTGCCTCCTGCAGGGAAATAATTATAAATAAAAGAGTAAAACCCTTAAATAAATACAGAAGAAAGAAAAATAGGCAAAGAAATGCAATAAAATAAACACAAAGGAAAGGGGGTGTTTATTAGGGGGGGGCCCCCGACCTCGTCATCGGGTTGTTGTTGCTGAGGTGTACAGGCAGCTTAATAGGCTTCTTTGCACGCAAAGAAATAAATAATTATTTAAATAAACCACAAATATATATTTATAATTGTTTTTAATAACATTTAATCAAAAAGTACACAAAAATATCCGGCAGATGTCTTTCTTGTTGCTGCTGCTGCAGCAGCAGCAGTAGCCAGCTGTGGGGCCCGCCTGACCCCCAGCAATTAAGGAGGCAAAACGATTATTTTTAATTAATTTTTTGCCTTTTTATCCCTTTAATTAAATTAGTTTAATTAATTTAATTAATATTTACTCAATTATTATTATAATAAGATATTAAATTAGATAGACACCCCATGCTGCCCTGCAGCGCTCCATTTGACCATCGTGTTCACAACCACCAACAGCAGCAACAGCAGCAACAGCAGCAACAACAGCAACAACAGCAGCAGCAACAGCAGTAACAACAACAGCAGCAGCAGCAACAACAACAACAGCAGCAGCAGAAGTTCTTGTGTTACTATCCGTCGTTTGTGTGCTGTTGAGTCTCCCGTTGTTTGTTTGACTAAATAAAACAAAAACGCCCTGCTAGCTGTGCGGCTACATCCTGCTGCTGCTGCTGCTGTTGCTGCTGCTTCTGCGTCTGCTGCTGCTACCGCTGCTGCTATGGCTAGCTGTATCTAACTACAGTCAGATGTAGCTAGCCGCAGCTAGCCGTAGCTAGCTGGAGGCAGCAGCAATTGCTGTGTATTGTTATAAGAAAGAAAATCCTTAATATAGAGGTGCCTATACACCTCAGGGTGTATGTACGCCTGACGTCTTCATTAACTAGATAAAGTTTATTAAAGACAAAGGTTGGTGCTGCTGCTGCTGCTGCTGCTGCTACTGCGGCGGCGGCAGGCAGCACAGCAGCAGAGGTGTCGGTACACCCCAGCCGCTGCAGCAGCTGTAGCTGCTTCTGGTGAGGCGGCTTCTGAATCTGTAGCTGCAGCAGCAGCAGATGCTGCTGTTGCTGCTGCTGCTCGATTGTAATATCCCCAATCCCGCAGCAGCAGCAGCAGCAGCAGCAGCAGCACCAGCAGCAACAAAGCCTCCACGTATGTGTGTAGGCGTTCCTTCCATGTGTTGTAGTATGGGGCAGCATGTGCTGCTGCTACTGCTGCTGCTGTTGCTGTTGCTGCTGTTGCTGTTGCTGCTGTTGCAGTTGCTGTTGCTGCTGTTGCACTTGCTGCTGTTGCTGCTGCTGCAGTATCAATGCATGCGCATGCATTGGTGCCATTGATTGCTGCTGCATGTATGTATGTATAAGATGGATCAATATTTTGGCAATAAAAGGAATAATAATAAATATAATAAATAATAAATAAATAAATAAATAAATAAATTAATTAAATTAATTAATTAATTAATTAAATTAATTAAGAAAGTCCCCAATAACTAACAACAGATCGCCATAAAGAAGGACGAGGATCAACACCACGACAATAGATGTGCGTCTTACCATCTGTTAATAATAATTCACCTTTTTCTTTTATTAACTGCATGCATATACATATACACATTTATTTATTTATTTATTTATTTATTTATTTATTTATTTATTTATTGAATATAATTATATAGGGCAACAGTAGCAGCAACAATAACAACACCAGGTATATAGCAACAACACCATAACAATCCCCATCAGCCCACGACTCCCATCAGCATCAGCAGCATCAGCAGCATAAGCAGCATAAGCAGCATCAGCAGCAGCAGCATCAGCATCAGGAGGAGCAGCAAGAGAAGGAATAGGGTAAATACTTACATCAGCAGGTGCAGAATTAGCAAATACAACAACAAAATTATTTTCTGCATTTATACTTGGTGCTCGCTCAACTCGAACAACAGGTCCAAACCAAGAAGAATAATTTCGACAATTTGATGCCGAATAATTATTTGGAAAATTACACATTAATACAGACGATGCCTCGTCGTACTCCTCTGGCTGCATATATATATATATATATATATATATAT